AAGGAGCTCGTTAGATCTCTCAGCATCTGCAGCAGCTTTGTTAATCACACAGAGCATAACTTGCATTCTAATTACCAATGTCATCAGCCTTTGTGCAGATTTGAGCACTGCAGGTCCCAATCATGCTTAGGGCTGTGATTTGTAGCAGACCTTGTCCCATCACCTGGCAGCTGCTGTTGAGGGCACAGTGAGGGAGAAATGAACTGGGCTGCTTCAGCGTGATCCACGCCTGGAAGTGCGATGCACAGAAGGCTTTGCTTTTCAGAGGGCCGGGTACCAGTCTCCATCCTGCCTCCAAGCAGCTGAGTGGCCCTGGGAGACCTCACTTCTTTGTTCATTCCCACATTGAGTTTCATCAGATCATTTGGGGATCTCTAATGCCTGGTCACCCACAGACTATCTGGCAGAAAATAAAACTTGGAGATCACGTAACCAAATCCCTTATTTTGCAAATAAAGTGAAACTCTCAGAGGCCTACTGGTTTCACAGGCATTCAATTCTTGCTTCCATTTTTTTCCCTGCAAAATACATTGCAAATTATAGTGACTTTTTAGTAAATATTTCACGGTATTTAAGGCTTTTTCTTGACTTGTTTAGTGTCTTGCTTTCCTTTCACTTCAAACCAATGAAGCCTTCTGAAATAGAACAGAAAGCTTCTGTAATATGTTTTTCTAGAAGTGTTAAGATAGAAAATGCTTTAGTCAGTGCTTCGGATATGTTCCTCAGGCTTGTGGTTTTAAAGAATTCAGATGTTATATTTCTTTACTCTTTGTTTAACAAGTGTAACTTATTGATTATACTATCAGTATTTTCAGTTCAGCCAGCTCTTGTATTCTAGGAATATTGAAAAAAAACTGGCTGCAAAGGGCTCTTTAGCTATAGAAAATATGTTTCAGCATGGATTAGTGCTTCCTTAGGCAATCATTCAAATTATTTTTCAAGCTCTGAGAATATATTAACTTGAAAATGGAGACAGAGTTCCAGATGTTGAGTCTAGAGATTTATGCCAGGGGCAACCTAGGATTTAAACTTTTTCCACACGTATTACACAGAATAAAGAATTTGAGCATACTAACTCAGAGCTAACAACACAATAATGTAAACAACTGCAATTATGATTTTTTTCAATATCATCTTTAGAGCTGGGCACGGTGGCTCATTCCTATAAGCCCAGCACTTTGGGAGGCCAAGGCGGGTGGATCACCTGAGATCAGAAGTTCGAGACCAGCCTGGGTAACATGGTGAAACCCCATCTCTACTAAAAATACAAAAATTAGCCAGGTGTGGTGATGCATGCCTGTTATCCCAGCTACTCAGGAGGCTGAGGCAGAACAATCACTTGAACCTGGGGGGCAGAGGTTGCAGAGTCGAAATCGCACCACCGCACTCCAGCCATTTCACTATGAGCAAGACTGAAACTTTGTCTCAAAAGAAAAAAACATGTCTTTAAAGCAAACACTTATTATTTTTTTCTTTTTATTAGAGTTATCAGCATGTGATATTTCATTTTTGTTGAAACCTTTTTTTGACAAGGTGTCACTGTTCTACGCAGGGTGGAGAGCAGCAGTCATAGCTCCCTCTCCCTCCCTCCCTTCCTTCCTTTTTTTCCTTTCTTTCTGGGTCCTGCTTTATTAAAGATTACTTTTTAAATACAATAGGGCAATGAAGTAATTCTTGTTTTGTGTTTCTGGTTTTTTTTAACTGGATAGTAAGGTGATTTTTCTATCTGAAACTTTGATCACTGGAAGGCAGGACACAAGTAAGCTTTCTAAAACTTCCTTCTTTGACAATAAATGAGATATTGGAGTACATCTTTGGAATAGACTTTTATTAGGCCCAAGAGTGATCTCAGAAAGAAAAAGTGTCTTTGTTTATCTGGGAGCTTTGCCCAGGCCAGATAGTCTCACACTAATTTGTGACGGGATCTTTAGACCACACAGTACCTGCTCTGTATCTGGAGGAGCAGGGGACTAAAAGTCGGCCACATGGACAGTCAACCGTGTCTACATAACCAGGTTCCAGCAAAACCCTGGACACCAAGGCTCAGGCAAGCTTCCCTGGTTGGCCATGCTTCCTGCATATTGTCACACATTGTTGCAGGGGTCCTTTAGCACTGTCTGTGAGCCACAACTGGGAGAGGACAACTGAAGCTCCAAGTGTGGAATTCTGCTGGATTCTGCCTCATGCAGCTCCTCTTCTGGCTGATTTTAATCTGTTCTTTCACTGTAATGAGCCGTAACTATGAGGATCACAGTTTCAGTGAGTTCTAAGAGTCCTTCTGGGGAATCATTAAACCTGAGAGTGGGCCAGGTTTGACGGCTCACACCTGTAATTCCAGCACTTGGGAGGCTGAGGCAGGCACATCACTTGAAGTCAGGAGTTCAAGACCAGCCTGGCCAACATGGTGAAACTCTATCCCTACTAAAAATACAAAATTAGCCAGGCCTGGTGGCACACACCTATGGTCCCAGCTATTCGGGAGGCTGAGGTGGGAGGATCACATGAACCCGGGAGGCAGAGATTGCAGTCAGCCAAGATCATGCCACTACACTCCAGCCTATATCACCGAGAGAGACTGTCTCAAAACAAAACAAAGACCTGGGGTGGTTTTGGGGACCTCCCAAACTTGCAATTGATGTCAGAAGTGAGCATGGTCTGTGGACTACTCAGTAATACTGCACTAAGAGAAAATGCACAAATAAACGTAATTAGAAATCAGAAGGAATATGAGCACAATGACAGTAACCAGGGGGTGGGGAAAGACACCATGAGGACCCACTTTACAGATGCTGTAGTTCTCATATCCTGCATCTGTACTGAGGCCTTCTGGAACCTGTCCATGGGGCCCTCTGTAGACAGAGTATTCCCTCAGCAAACCACTTTCTTCAAAGGGTTCATTTCTTCCTCACTCCTCCACTGATAAATTCAGACTTCCAGTCTATAATCCCAGCACTTTGGGAGGCCAAATTGGGATAATCTCTTGAGGCCAGGAGTTCAAGACCAGCCTAAGCAACATTGCAAAACTCCCATCTCTATTTTTAAATAATTTTTTAATTCTTGTTTTCAAAGCAACTTTTCAGTTCTTCTCCCAAGAGGTGCAAATACAAATCTGTGATTTTTCTTTTTTTTTTTTTGAGACCGGCCTCCGTCTGTCGCCAGACTGTAGTACAGGGGCGCGATCTCGGCTCACCGCAACCTCCGCCTCCTGGGTTCGGGCAATTCTCCTGCCTCAGCCTCCTGAGTAGCTGGGATTACAGGCACGCGCCACCATGTCCAGCTAATGCTTTGTATTTTTAGTAGAGACGGGGTTTCACCATGTTGACCAGGATGGTCTCGATCTCTTGACCTCGTGATCCACCCGCCTCAGCCTCCCAAAGTGCTGGGATTACAGGCTTGAGCCACCGCGCCCGGCAAATCTGTGATTTTTCTAAAAGCAGCAGAATTTAACTACTTTACTCAAAGCACTGAACTAACGATGATGAGGAATGATGAGGACACAACTTAGAAACAGTCAAATGGAAGAAACAAAACAAGGGCTATCGGAGGAATGAAGTAAGATCTGAATAATGGCAATTACAGTAACTCACCTTTTCTGTGGAGTTGGAAGCATTTAAAATGTTCCATTATCCTGAGGCCGAAAGCTGGTGGGACCCTGTGTGCAGCCAGACTTGCAGGCTCCTCTCTCGAGGCTGAAGGCTAGAAATTTCCTATGCATACAGCAAAAGTGAGAAGCCTCTTGGGCTAGGATAAGGCATTAATTAGGCCAGATAGCAAATGGGGCAAGGGCCCTAAAATACCTGTTATCTCTAGTATCCTATTTAGGAGGTGATCCTAACACTCCAGGTAGAATATCCTATTTCCATAGATAAAAGCTCAGCTGAAAAACAGATGAAAATAGAGGCTAGTGGCTGAGGAGCTGGCCCAAACTGTCCAAGTAGTGCTGGAGGCGTTCTAAGAAGAGGGCAATAATGGGATGGGGGTCTTCACACCAGCATGAACCAGCCCACCACTCAAGGATTAGGGACAGAGCTTCTTGAGCCACTGTCTGTTGGTGAGGCCAAGGTACTGTGGGAAGAAAGAGTGAGCACCGGGCCAGGTGTGGTGGCTCATGCTTGTAATCCTGGCACTTCCAGAGGCTGAGGCGGGTGGATCACCTGAAGTTGAGTTTGACACCAGCCTGGCCAACGTAGAGAAACTCCACCTCTTATTAAAAACACAAAAATATTAGCTGGGCATGCTGGCATCTGCCTGTAATTTCAACGACTCAGGAGGCTGCAGCAGAATTGCTTGAACCTGGGAGGGGGAGGTCATAGCTAGCATGAGATCCGCACCACTGCACTCCAGCCTGGTGACACAGTGAGACTCCCTCTCAAAAAAAGGCCAGGTGTGGTGGTACAGACTTAATATCCCAGGTAGGCAGGAGGCTGAGGACAATCACTTAAATCCAGCAAGCAGAACTTGCAATGAACTGAGATCACCACTGTATTCCAGCCTGGGAAACTGGGAAAGACGGTCTCAAAACAAACAAAAGACAAATATGGAAAGCATTACATTAATTTTTATGTATTCATACAAATTTCCCTCACCCAGAACCTGTAGGCAAGCTGACAAGAGGGGTAATGTATGTCTCTCAACGTGGGGCCATTGCCTCTCCAGGGCTTCCAGGAATAGTTAACCTAAGTGAGAGGAACAGTCTCAAAAATAAAAACCTTAGCTCTACAGAATTTACCTACCCTAATGGTAATAAAAGTCAACATTATCAGGGCCTTGGAAAAATATTCCTGAAGTGACCACCTAAATACATGTAACCACTTACACCTATTTTCAGGACACAGGTGTTCTCTACACAGAAAGCTGAGGAAAACTCTCAAGTGAAAAGCAATATACACTACAGTGAACTTCAGAAGTACAATTCATGCCAAGACGTGTATTTATTGTTATGCTTTGGTATGAAATCCCTGGTATTCTGATCTGAAAAAACCAAAATAAATGAACACAACTTTTAGAAACTCGATGTTTATTTTCCATGAATCTTATATGTTGTTTAAGAGCCCACAGAGGAACAGCTTAAGACCATTCAGTGGTTGCTCCTACCCATTCAGTGGCCTGAGCAGTGGGGGCTGCAGACCAGTCTTCCGTGGCAGGCTGGGCGCTCCAGTCTTCAGTAGGGAACTGCTGGATGGGCACAGAGGGCACCTGCACGCCTTCAGACCAGTCGGCAACCTCAGGCTGAGTGGCAGTGAACTCAGGGGCCGGAGCAGTCCATTCGCCCTGAAACTCCTCCTTGGTCACAGCCTTCTCAGCAGCRGCCTGCTCTTCTTTTTCAATCTCTTCAGGATCTCTGTAGAAGTAGAGATCAGGCATGACCTCCCACGGGTGTTCACGGGAAATGGTGCCACGCATGCGCAAAACTTCCCGAGCCAGCATCCACCACATCAAACCCACTGAGTGAGCTCCCTTGTTGTTGCATGGGATGGCAATGTCCACATAGCGCAGAGGAGAATCTGTGTTACACAGAGCAATGGTCGGTAGGTTAACATAAGACGCCTCCGTGAGAGGCTGGTGGTCAGCCCTTGGGTCAGTAACTACAAGCAGCCGTGGCTCCCGGAAGGCTGCCTGGATCTGGTTGGTGAAGGTTCCAGGAGTAAAGCGGCCAGCAATTGGAGTGGCTCCAGTGGCAGCAGCAAACTTCAGCACGGCCCTCTTTGAAGAATTAAAAGTTCGTAGTACTCCAGAGATACTTCACAGCAACTCCCCATATGCTGACACCCAGTTCTGTAACCACATGCAAGAGCCTATCTAGCTAAAACCCTCAAATACCCACTTCCTCAAAAATGCAAGCATCAAAACTAAACACTGAAAACATTAATTCTTCTGTTTTCTATATAAACTGAAAAGTACTTTCAAAACTATAGCCAGAAAACACCTTAGACATGCCCTCACTTCTAGGCCCTCTGCTTGGAATGCACTTCCCACCCTCAGGTGTCTGGTTCACTGGCTTCCTCGTATCTGGAGGCTCCAGAGCCACACTTCCCAGGCTCTAAGAACCAAGTGGGTGACTTTTTGAGTTAAACTGCTCAGGACATTCACATGCCTCCAAGTTCCTCATACGGTTAAGTATTAAAGACACCTAACACAGAACAATGCCTGGCACCCAGCAAGCACTTCTGGGCACCGGCTAATTTAATCACCACTACTCCATGTAAAGCAGGCAACACCAGCTTTCCTTAACCTCTTACTTCTCCAGAGATTTCCCCATGTATTAAAAGGCAGTCTTGTTTCTCTACTACATCCCAAGCACCTAGGAATACTATCTGGCCCCATCTAGATGCTCAGTGTATTTTTCTCAAGCAAGTACTGTCACTCATTTCATTCTACAGCAATAATCAAAACTGCCCCTTTTCTACTGTGTACCAAACTGTGTGGTCCCAGTAACAAGTCAGTTTGACGAATAACCCTCTGCAAAAACACTCACGGGAACCTGCCCTGTCAACACTGAAACAGAGTCCTTACCACACAATTTTTAAATCTGTCTTGTTGGGATGAATGAAATCCCTGTTAGAACCCTTACAATTCAAGAAATCCACTAGTTTTCTCAACAGAAAGACCGTTAATGGAGCTGTGGCAAAAAAAGATCAAGTTCTACTGACCAGCCTTTTTTTTGTGAGATAGTCTCACTGTCGCCAGGCTGGAGTGCAGTGGCTTGGCTCACTGCAACCTCCACCTCCGAGGTTCAAGCTGTTCTCCTGCCTCAGCCTCCCAAGTAGCTGGAACTACAGGTGCCCACCACCATGCCCAGCTAATTTTTGTATTTTTAGTAGAGACAGGGTTTTACCATGTTGGCCAGGACAGTCTCGATCTCTTGGCCTCATGATCCACCCACCTCGGCCTCCCAAAGTGCTGGGATTACAGGCGTGAGCCACCACACCCGGCCATTAACTAGTCATTTTTCAAAAATATAAATTGAGGTATTTTTCATTCGAGTTGGCAGATTTTTTTTTTTTTTGAGACAAGGCCTCACTCTGTCATTCAGGCTGGAATGCAGTGGCACAGTCTCGGCTCACTGCTGCCTCGACCTTCTGGGTTCAAGCAATCCTCCCACTTCAGCCTCAGCTGAGACTGCAGGCGCACACCACCACACCCAGCTAGTTTTTGTTAATTTTAGTAGACAGGGTTTTGCCACCTTGCCCAGGCTGGTCTTGAACTCTTGGGCTCAAGTAATTCACCCGCCTCAGCCTCACAAAGTACCTGTATTATAAGCATGAGTGACCCACGACCAGATTTTTACTGCAGCCCCCAACTCCTAGACTTGAGGGATCTTCTGCCTTGGCCTCTCAATTAACTTGGAGGGCATGTCACTATGACTGAATAAAATTCTTAAAAATTTCTTGCTGATGAGACTTGGATAAAACAAAGAGTAGTGTCCTAGATTAAGAAAAGCTTTCTGAAAAATGTTGCAGTTGACATCAAATTTCTGCCCCAGAATTTCATCATTTCAAGGTAAAAACTTCGAGTCTGGAAAAATGTGATAAGCCACTTAAATGGGATAATTTCTACATATTTCGTGGCAGCAGTCTACATAAAATGAAAATATAAGTTCGACATAGTGCGAGATGCCCAACATGTATGTTGAAAAGGTCATTATAGGCTGGGCGCAGTGGCTCACACCTAAAATCCTAACACTTTGGGAGGCCAAGGCGGGAGGATCACTTGAGTCAGGGGTTCAAGACCAGCCTGGCCAACATGGTGAAACTGTCTCTACTAAAAATTCAAAAATTAGACATGGTGTAATCCCAGCTACTCAGGAGGCTGAGGCAGGAGAATCGCTTGAGCCCAGCAGGCAAAGGTTGCAGTGAGCTCAGATCACACCACTGCACTCCAGCCTGGGCAATGGGTAACAGAGGGTGACCGTCTCTTAAAAGGAAAAGGACATCTAAGAGTAATCTCTATGGCTCAGTCCAACTTAAGATCTCTGAATAGTTTTCTTTTACGTTTCTGTATGTCTCACAATATCTGTAAGCTTTATTTCTATAATATAAAAACTAATCACTGTTCCACAAACCTGGCCAGTATTCCTGGAAGATATAACACTGACATCAGCAGGGTTTTCAATAGCAACAATGGCACGAGCTGCCAGGAGAAGCTTCTCCCAGGTCCTCTTCAGGTTTATGATGTAGATGCCTAGGTGAAGGCAGAAGGATTTTTAACACTTGACCTGCTGTGATAACATGCGTCACAGAAGTTTAGTGTATGTAGCAGCGAGTCCTACCAAACTCCAGCCACAGAGGCAAGCTCTGCTGGGGTTAGCGAGCACCCTTGCCATTACTGTAGCACACCTCCGACACTCGGAAGTTCACGAGCCAAGACAGGCCTCCACCCGAGCTTTAACAGTGTGCAGCCTGGATTCAGTTGGCTAAATCCATCTTTCCTTTCACTTTGCCTGTACCTACTGTCCATCAGCGGTTCTTAAAAATACACTTTCTGAAGATTAAAAAAGAGGGGCAGGGGAATCGACTTCCTGGCTTTCTGCCACTCTTTCCCTTTTATCAGCACTGATGCAAGATTTGTCCTGAAACTCCTTTACAGAATGCCACTCCCAAGTGGTTGGTAGCTGTATATCTAAAATAAGCATCTTAGCCAACTTAATGTCATCCCTCTTCTGCTTCTTCTAAGCCATATTGTTTATTCCCACCTCTTACCCCACTTTCCACTCAAGTCAGTCGAATAGCTGTAAAAGCACCTATGAAGTGAGAACACTATGGAAGACATTACACATTCAGTTAACGAACTTTGTCACATTCATGACCCGACCCAAGTCCCACAACGCAGGCAACTGACGTTTTCTTCCCCTGAAGCAGAAATCTTTTCTTCCAGTAACAACCAGAACATTTACTTAGAGTATGTTTTCAACCTAGGGTTCTGGCTTCATTTGAGGAAGAGGATACAAAGAAATTACCCAGAACTAACCATCAGAATAACAAGGTGAAAATTTGTACTTACAGCTGGAATAACAAAAAATTAAAGCAATGACTAACCATCACTTTTCCTTTTATAGATATACTGTTCCATCTGGAAGTCAAGGTTGGTGCCACCTAAATGTGTTCCTGCTGCCAGGAACTTAAGGACATCCTCCTCCTTCATTTGCAGGACATCAAGGGCTCCGGACATTGTGAAAGTTTCCCTTTAAGTTACGACGGGAATCTGGGAAAAAAAAAAAAAAAGAGCAACCTATTTCTTTTCATTCCAGTAAGTGGGGTAGGGACACATCCTTAAAAACAACCAAAGATTCCATCCGCTAGTGTCAGACACTGAGCAGTGAAGGGGTTAAGACAATAGAACTTTAATGTTAACAGATACATGCCGCATATCATACAACAGCAGCACATCTTACTGAGGAAATGGTGTGGACAGCAGAATAACGGAAATAATAAACCTAGAGGAAGCCCCGCGCCGTGGCTCATGCCTGTAATCCCAGCACTTTGGGAGGCTGAGGTCGGCAGATCACCTGAGGTTTGGAGTCTGAGACCAGCCTGACCAACAAGGAGAAACCCCGTCTCTACTAAAAATACGAAATCAGTCGGACGTGGTGGCACACGCCTGTAATCCCAGCCACTCGGGAGGCTGAGGCAGGAGAATCGCTTGAACCCGGGAGGTGGAGGTTGAAGTGAGCCGAGATGGCGCCATTGAAACTCAGTCTCAAAATCAACCAACCAACCAACCTAGACGAAATTCGTGAATGCAAATTCAACACTTCTTAGGAGTTAACGAAATCTGCGGACGCGCCAAGTTAACACCTAGATATAAAAAGAGCAGCCACGTTTGGGCTATGCAAACTAAAGGCAAAGAAACGTATGAACTGGTTTCAGTTATTTTCAAACAGATTGCAGGCGGATGCTTCGCGATTACTTTGCTGCGCCGTCACCACTTGTCTCAAAACCCAAGAACCTCAACTCCTGACCTGCACGGTTCAAACGGAAAACCCGACCAATCCAAGATCAGCGCCTGGGCCTCGACTCACCGCCGCGTCGGGGGTCCAAAGGGATGGCAGCACGAGATGTTAGCCCGCTTCTGCACCCCCGGCCACCCGCGGCCCGGCCCGGCCCGAACCCCAGTTTCGAGCCTCCGCTGGAGTGCGGCCTCACCCGCTCCTGCCGCAACGTGGGAATCTGCGGGCCCGAGCATGGCCACGAGGGCGGCAGTACCTAAGATGGCGCACGCCGAGCAAGAAACAGGCCGGTCTGACCGCTTTCATTACTAGTCTTCGCGCCCCTCATTTGGGCAGAAAAAGCTCATTCTTCTGGCCTTAGGAGGCGCCAGAAAAGTCACAACGTACTCACCCAGAACAACGCCGTTTGGAGCCCTCGGCAGGTAGCGCGGAAAGGACAAGCCCCAGGAAGTGACGTTTTTATATACTCTGTTGCCAGCCAATGGCAAAGAAAGTCGAGCGGAAAAAGGGCGGAGCCGGGGCTGAGCGCCGCCGGAACTGGGCCCCTTTTTCCGGAAGGCGGGCTTGCGGCGCCTGCGCGGACTCTCGGGCTGTAGCAGATGGCGGTGGCCTGGTCGGATCTGGAGGGCTCGTGAGTTTGGGGTTTCTAGTGCCACAGCGACGCCCTGTGCCCTTTTCTACCCATAATTCCTGTCCAGAGCGCGGAACTGAAGCTACCCAGCCCCTTGTACCTGCGAATTTGAGCGGCTTTCTCGCCTAAACTGCAGTTTCCTTACCTGAAACGTAGGCAGGTTTGTTCGACACAACAAACTTAAACGTTAGTTAAACAAAAATTTAAGAATTTCTTTTCTTTTCCTGGAGAACAGTTTAACAGGACGTAATTCAGATTTAAATGTTCACTTGGAAATTTCACTGAAAAAGTTAAAAAGGACAAGATTGAACAAATGGTATGCATTGTATCTATCACCCATCTGTCTCTACATATATACTGTATATATTATATATAGTGTATGTGATATAGTATATATAGTATATCGTATACTACATACAGTATATGTATGATATATACAGTAGACCATATACTATATACAGTTTTATATAAAAATTTTGTAAAACTATATGATAATTTTTTGGTAGAAGGAAAATTTAATATATATCAATCATATATATGATATATATAAATTATATAATACATATTTTATATAAAATGTATATAATATATAATTTTTTATTTTAAATATTTTATTGAGAAAACGGGAACCGTTATATATAATTTTTATATCAAATGTATATTATGTATTTAATTTTCTTTTTGGTAGAAGAAAAATTTTACAATAGCTATCAGTAGGAGGTAAGATAAATGGGCATGGTGGCTCGCATCTGTAATCCCAGCACTTTGGAAGGCCAAGGTGGGTGGATTGCTTAAGCTCAGAAGTTCAAGACCAGCCTGGAAAACATGGGGAGATCCTGTCTCCACAACAAGTACAAAAATTAACCAAGTGTGGTGATGCATGCTTGTATCCCAGCTACTCAGGAGGCTGAGGCTTGTGGGTGGAGGATCACTTGAGCCCAGAGATCAAGGCTGCAGTGAGTATGACTGCACCACTGCATTCCAGCCTGGGCAACAGAGCCAATCCTGTTCCCCAAAAAACAAACAAAAAATAGGAGTTAATTGAAGAGGCTTGGTGGCTGTAATCCCAGCACTTTGAAAGGTTGAATAACTCTCAGGAGAACTGATGGTTTGGTAAGAGGAAACCCGTTTCACTTGGCGCTCATTCTCTCTCTTGCCTGCTGTGATGTAAGACTTCCTTTCTCCTTCCACCATGATTGTGAGGCCTCTCTGGCCACGTGGAACTTGAGTTGAATTAAACCTCTTTCTTTTGTAAATTACCCAGTCTCGAGTATGTTTTTTTTGTTGTTGTTTGTTTTTTGAGACGGAGTCTTGCTCTTGTCACCCACGCTAGAGTGCAATGGCATGATCTTGGCCCCCTGCAACCTCCACTTCCTGGGTTGAAGCGATTCTTTTGTCTCAGCCTCCTGAGTAGCTGGGATTACAGGGACCCGCCACCATGCCCGGCTAATTTTATTTGTGTTTTTAGAAGAGACAGGGCTTTGCCACATTGGCCTGGCTGGTCTCCAACCCCTGATCTCATGATCCACCTGCCTCAGCCTCCCAAAGTGCTGGGATTACAGGTGTGAGCCACTGCAACTGGCCTCAGGTACGTCTTTATCAGCAGCGTCAAAACAAACTAATCCACTGCATCTCTTGATAAGCCACATCTTCCCAGACTTACGGCAAATGGTCAACTGGACATTGCAAGAAGAGGACCCCCTATAAACACCAACTGGAGATGTGGCAAAAGGGATTCCAACGTTAGGTTTCTCACTGCAGCATCTAAAACCTTGGCCACTTGAAGGTACTCGTCAAAAATGCAAGTTCCGGGCATGCTGGCCCATGCCTGTAATCCCAGTTACTGGGGAGGCTGAGACGGGAGAAGGCGGGGGTTGCTGCAGTGAGCTGGGATCGCATCATTGTATGCCAGCCTGGGCGACAGAATGAGACTGTCTCAAAAATAAATAAATAATATAATAAATTTTTTTTTTAAATGCAGGTTCCTCCCTGGGGCCTGCTAAGTCAGTCTGATTTCTGAGCCCACCCCAAAATGAACTCTTGATGGCCACCCTCCCATGTGACAGCACATCCAGATTCTCCTGCAAGTGGCTCTGCAGCTCCTCTGTGGCCAGTGTGATCTGAGGAGCTTGGAAACCCTCAGACCATAGCATAGGTCACCCCCAGGCTGCCCTGCTTCATCACCCAACAAGGCTGAAGTTCCTGGCGCTTGAGGGACAAATTCAGAGAAGTCATGGCCCCTTGCTGCAAATGCCTCCCACTTCTACTTTGTTTTGGAAAGAGGAGGCATTCAGTTTGTCCGCAGAGACTCAGGCCATAAGCCTCCTCAGAGCAAGGCCCCCCAGTCCCAAAACAAAGCCTTCACCTCCCCCCTCCAAAAGTGCTCAAAAGTGCTCCTGCTTAAGCCGTTAAGTGTGGATTGGGATTGCTGAGTAGTGAATGCAGCTCTGCAGGGTTTCTCCAGGGGTAATCACCCGGGGAGCTTTTAAAACCTTGTACCCAGGCTGAATATATCAGAATCTCTGAGTGAAACTCAAGCATCAGTAGCTTTTTTTTTTTTTTTTTGAGGCAGAGTCACTCTGTCACCCAGGCTGGAGTGCAGTGGCACGGTCTCCACTCACTGTAACCTCCGCCTCCTGGGGTTCAAGCAATTTCCTTGCCCCAGCCTCTCAAGTAGCTGGGACTACAGGTGCATGCTGCCATGCCCAGCTAATTTTTTGTGTTTTAGTAGAGATGGGATTTTACCATATTGTCCAGCCTGGTCTCGACCTCCTGAGCTCAGGCAATCCACCCACCTCAGCCTCCCAAAGTGCTAGGATTACAGGTGTGAGTCACTGCAACCAGCTGCATCAATAGCTTTTAAAGCTCCTGGAGGAACTTCCCCTCTACCCTTTGAATGTTCACTGCTAAAATAAACTGACAATAGACAAGTTAGCAGGAGAAAAAACATACACATTTATTGATAGGCTTATGCACAGGAGCCATACAAAATATAAGACTCAGAAGGACTCAATGGCTGAAGCTTAAATAGCATTTACTTCCCAGGGAAGGGAGATGGGGTTGTCAGCAATTTAGAGGGTTAGGATACGAATGAGTTCAAAGAACAGAAAGTTTGCCTGCCACAAAGTTCCTCTGAGCTCTGGGGGAAATGGCAGCAAATTACAGTAAGGTAGGGGGAGGAACTTCACTATGACCAAAGGTTTCCTTATTAGGCATATAAGGTCTCCTGGATAATCTCTCAGAGCTGCCCTCAGAAAAATAGATGAAGAGTCTGTCTGGGCATGGTGATAACTTTTAGTCTTTTCTCTTCCCAGTGGTTAATATTCCCTGGTTACCTGATAAGATTCCTAGGGAGGAAGTTTTTTTTTTTTTTTTTTTTTTTTTTTGAGACAGAGTTTCACTCATGTTACCCAGGCTGGAGTGCAATGGCGCGATCTCGGCTCACCGCAACCTCCGCCTCCTGGGTTCAGGCAATTCTCCTGCCTCAGCCTCCTGAGTAGCTGGGATTACAGGCACGCGCCACCATGCCCAGCTAATTTTTTGTACTTTTAGTAGAGACGGGGTTTCACCATGTTGACCGGGATGGTCTCGATCTCTTGACCTCATGATCCACCCGCCTTGGCCTCCCAAAGTACTGGGATTACAGGCTTGAGCCACCGCGCCCGGCCCTAGGGAGGAAGTTTTAAGACTATTGTGTTGGCCGGGTGCAGTGGTGCACACCTGTAATTCCAGCACTTTGGGAGGCTGAGGCGGGTGGATCACGAGGTCAGAAGTTCAAGACCAGCCTGGCCAACATGGTGAAACCCCGTCTCTATAAAAAAACAATAAAAAAAGACTACTGTGTTTATTCTGGAGTAACTTTCCTTATTCAGATAAGGGAATTTCAGACAAAGCCCCTTCAGTTGCTTTGAGAGAAGGGATTGAGACATGGGGGTCAGGAGAAGGCCAGAAAGAAACCTTGGTTCTGAGGCCTATTTCAGAGGCCTTTCAATTTTCTTTAATTCAAAGCACTGAGCATGCCAAAGTGCCCTATTTGGGGTATCATTTTCTAAGCCCCAACATTTTCCAGATGATTCCAATGTGCAGCCATATTGAGTTTAAAAACTACAATCCTAGACTCTAGAGTATTTTTATTTATTTATTTATTTATTTATTTGAGACAGGGTCTCACTCTGGAGTGCAATGGTGTGATCTTGGCTCACTGCAACCTCTGCCTCCTGGGCTCAAGCAATTTTCCTGCCTCGGCCTCCTGAGTAGCTGGGACTGCAGGCACATACTATGTTTGGCTAATTTTTGTATTTTTGGTAGAGATGGCATTTTCCTTTGTTGTCCAGGCTGGTCTTGAACTCCTAACCTCAAGTGATCCGCCCACCTCGGCTTCCCAAAGTGCTAGGATTATAGGCCACTGTGCCCAGCCTAGAGTATTTCTTGACTACCTAAGCTAATGGCTTCCAGGAGCAGAGAAGGAGTATTTAGAAGCTGAAGAATACCTAGATGCTGTTGCATTGAGGCAGGTTTTTTGGAGGGAGTTGTGACAAAAGCTGAGATTTGAGATACAATAGGTTGTTGAATTATTTTTCTTTTTTCTTTTTCTTTTTGAGACAGAGTCTTTATCACCCAGGCTGGAGTGCAGTGGTGCAATTGCAACTCACTGCAGCCTCTGCCTCCCAGATTGATTGAAGCAATTCTTGTGCCTCAGCTACCCAAATAGCTGGGACTACAGGTATACATCACTACACCTGGCTAATTTTTTGTAATTTTAGTAGAGACAGTTTTGCCATGTTGGCCAGGCTGGTCATGAACTCCTAACTTCAAGTGATCCACCTACCTTGGCCTCCCAAAATGTTGGGATTAT